CCATCATCAAACATAATCAAACATCATCAACATTATCAAGATATCATGAAACATCGTCACACATCACCAAAACGTCACCAAGAGTCATCATCAAACATCATGAAGACATCATCAAACCTCATCCAACATTATCAAACATCGTCAAACATTAGCAAACATCATCAAACCTCATCCGACATTTCAGGTGGCTGATTCACGCCGCGCACTTTTCGTAGTTATTCTGTACCGCATGCACGCGTGGGGGCGGGTTTGCCTATACTCGCAACGCACGGCTCCTTATGGCCCTGTGCGGGTAGGCAATGCGGTACAGTATATCTACGAAAGCGTAAATCAGCCACCTTACCTAGAAAAATGAAAAGTTGTCATAGCCATCGTATGGCTAGTTTAGGGACAACCATAAAGTGATGGTTGAAGTAACGTTAAAATTGTTCTGGAAACGAAAATATCGTTCCGACAACTGTAGGATTGTTAATTTTTTAACCATATTATAGTTGTCCCTGATGTAACCACACGATGGTTGATACGACCTTCCATTTCTGGGTGCTGGTATATCAAACATCATCAAACATTTGAGAAAAGCTCCCTTCTCTCTTGCCCCTGCCGCCGCGCACGGGACAACAGAACAGCACAGCCACCAGAAGCACTGTCCATGAGCTGCTGTCAATAATTAATCACGGCGCACACTATGGAGGTACGACCGATGGTCGCTAATTAGGCGCTTTTATTCTTCCCCGGGCGTACAGTCGGGTCGGGTCGGCCTTCGGCGACAGCTGCCGGAGAGTCTGTTTATTAGTGAAAGGGCGGGGTCAGTCCGGGACGCGGCGCTCTAGGCACGGGCGCGGCGGCCGTGACCACGACGGATCTGGCGCGGCTGCCCACCCGGAAGACAAACTTGAACTCGACTGCTGGCAAGAACTCGCGCGGAAGAAAGAACAATAAGTTTACACGAGAAACTCCACGAGGAAAACGGAATGAGTTTGCTCTGACACTGGAGTAGCACGGACTTTCTAGGCGGGGACTCATCTCACGGCGGCGGGGTCCCCGGGCTGGCCGCGAACAGGTGCGTGTCTGATAGGAGGGCGGGGGCGCTGCTGCAGGTCGTTTTCTTTATTATCATCGGTACCGACACGCGTCCGGCCACAGCCGCCCCGCGAGTAGAGCTGCCGAGGTAGCGGCACTTCTCATCAGTTACTCGGGTCGAATTCCCTCGACTGCTGCGCTCGACTCGCTGCTCTCCTCCAGGCGGCAAGGCGGCAAGCAGGCGACAGAGCTGTGTACTCATTTGCGCGTTCACGACGCGGATCAATGAACTGGACTGCGGCTCTCCGAGTGTGTGTGTGTGTTTGTGTGTGTGTGTCTGGCCCTGGAGCAGCAGCTCTGTGCTCGGCAGCCCTAGGGAACAGGTATCAACTCAACACCCGTCCCCTCCCCGCCCTCGCTACCGGCTGCGCGCCGGGCTGCGCTGTGCTGCGCCGCGCGCCCCGGGGGAGGAAGGCCGGCCAGCCGGCCGTCATGTTGCGGGCAGGTGCCTTGTTCGGAGCTAATATCTTATGCCGGCCGGGGCCCCTGGGCCGAAGGGGCCTACCTCAGGTACCGGCACTACTACCCACAGCAGGCGTTGTACAAGAACAGGGGGGGGGGGGGGCATGGGGCGTCTCAATCCGACCCTGGGGGACAGTGTGGCGACCATCGTGTCGTGGTGGCGATAGTGTGCCAGGTCTGACGACTGGATAAGCTGGTGCGGGGGCGCGCCGGACGAGGGGGTGCGGGTCGGATTGCCTCCGGGCTTAGCGCGCGCAGCGCGACTCACAGGTCGCGCCTCTCACCCCCCCATCCCTCGGGCCCTTTTATTCCCATGCGTATCCGCGTCCAATCGTCTAATCGAGAAAAATCTCCCGAAAGCAGCCGCTTTCTATAAATGTACAGTACACAAGTGTGATTATTGTATAAATCAATCCGAGCTCGCTTACCTAAATCGAACGGCCTCGTACGCACACGGCAGCGAGTGAGGCGTGTGCGTGTGCGCGCGTGTCTGTGTGCGTGTGACTGCGTATGTGTGAGAGATGCATGAATGGCCGGCCGATGAGGTAACGCATGAATCACAGACTCGTTCGGGTCGGTACGGTCCGGCCGGGCGCGGCTAAGTCGCTAACTTCAAAAAGCCCTGCCCAAACCCATTCCGTTATATCACTTTGAATGATGGAAGGGAGTGTGGGAACCACGTGGGGAGCGCGCGCGGCCGCGGGGTCTCTTCTCTTCCTTCTCACTCTCGCGCACGCTGCACACGCAAGCCCTGCCCTGCCCTGCGCCCAGTCGGCTCTCGGGAATAACATTTGACACTGGGTATCGTCCGTGAGCCGTGAGGGCACGTAATTTAGAGGTGGACCCCGCGCCGCGCTGGGCGCGTATTGCCCTTCCCCCCGCCCCGCCCCGCACTTACTTTCTCCATATGAGACGGCCCATGCGTGTATTATAGGGCCCAAAGCCAAAACATTGGAGCCGACGGAGCCGGGCAGGGCGGGGCGTGGCGGGGCGTGCCGCACCCAGGGCCATCGCCATCATAGAGCTGCATAGATAGAGCTGACCCGGGTGGGCCCTTCGGCCCCAGGCTGGGCCGGGCTGGGAGAGAGACCGGGGCCGCCGGGCCGGCCGGGGTCCGGGTTGACGTGAACGTGAAGGCCCGTGCCACACCGCGGACGCGGAGGGGTAGTATAGAACAACTTGTACTCTGTCACGAGCAGGGCGCTAGCACAATATCCGCGGTGCACGTTTTCTACTGACGCGGCTGTTAACAAGTAGTCGGGAGCGGCGAGGCTGGGCAGTTAGGCAATCCTCACACGGTGTGAGCCCCGCCGCACTCGACGTGTTAAAATAAATTTCCTTGCATTTTCGGCGTTTTCATCCTCCGTTGCGTTCGTTGGCTGAAAGAGCAGCGAGCGGTCGGGTTTGTCGCGAAGAATCGAAACGATTCCGAGCCGGCGGGAATGTGTGAGCGCGTGGCGCCTCACAGCCTCACACGCACACACACACACACACACACACACACACACACGCACGCACACACACACACACGCACGCACTTACGTCTCCACCTCCCCGCGCCGCCACGCGGTACCCACACACAGCGCCCGCCCACCCTACCGCGGTGGCGGATATAATTAAGTCTACTCTCCTGTCTAAATTTACACCGTGCGGCGTGGCGTACAGCATCATGCCCTCCCGGCACGCGGCGGCGGCAGCGGCCGCTCCCTGGCCGCGGCGACGGTGAGAGGACTGCGAGGGAGTTATACCCTGCGACCCCAACGCCCGCCGCACTAGTGTGGCTGGAGTCCGGCTTCAGGCCCGACCATGAGGTCTGGTTGAGCGCGGTCAGTTCTGCACAGGCTCCCCCACAAGTCCGCCCTCCCTACAAGGAGCCATGCCGGGTCGTCTGGAGTGGAGGCTGCGCGCCGAAGGGAACAAGGGCCTCGTTGTCGTCGCTGCGCCGGCGCCGCCGCTGCAGTGCAGCAGCCTGCTAGCGAGCGCGGGGCGGCGGGCCGCGGGCCGCGCCGGCCGGACAGGCCATGGCCAGGGTGGTCTTGAAATAGCTCGCCTCTCCCCGCCTCCACTTTCCCCTTCTGCCCTCTTGAAGGCTCCACCGACATGTTGCCCGAGGGGGGAATCCGAGAGGATGGGGAGTTGAATCGTCCCACTCTCTGTACTTAGACTCGGCTCGGCACTCGCCGCCGATAGGGCGCATGGAGAGGACCGAAAACCGCTCCCGAAGAGATAGCTCTGAGGCGAGCGCCTGCAAGACGCAGGGTAGGCAACCTATCCGACACCGGAGTGCACACCACCGCGACTTACCTTCGAATCCGCGCGTCTCCGGGGAAGTCCCTTACAGCAGACGCTCCAAAATCATGACGACTGACGGGGTCCTCGCGCACAAGTCTCGAAGCCGCTTGAAGCACTACACAGAAGTCAAACACTGGATGCCGAGTGTCAAAACCGGCGTGTCAAGCCGCCAAATTCTGCGGCCCGGGTCAGGGGTGGCGAGAGGTTGGAGAACATGCCCGCCACCTAAGGGACTTCCCTCTCCAGGCCCATGCGCCGCTCGATGCAGTCCTGCAACGCCTGCAACTCTTGTTTCTCTCCCTCTCACGGAGACGGCTGATATTCCGAGAAGCAATAGGGATTATTTTTAGATGCCGAATTCGCCGGCGTCGCAGACAGTTGCACGGGCGGCATTTCGCGTTCTCGGGCGAGGCGAGCCGGCGGTCGCGGTGAGCACGTGCACCGCCGCGAGCATTATCTCCGCGACCCCCGGGGACGACGCGAAGGGGCCTCCGCTTGGGCTTCTCGGACAGAGCCGTCGGGCAGGCCCGGCGGGCGACATCCGTCAGTGTCACCCGCGGTGTCGCCCTACTCTCAGCGGGAGGCCGGCGGCGGCGGCTGTGCTGCGGGGAAGACGACCGCGACAATCCCGGTGATTCAGACGCCCCTGCGGGCCGTGGGCGCCTGGAAGCTGAGGGTGGTGGTGGCGCAGATGAGCAGGGTGCGTCCCTCCCTAGTCGCGCTGGTCGCGCGCAGCTCGAGCGCGAGCCGATCACGTATGCGACGCGACACACGGCGTGGTCCGGCCCGGCGGGCCCCGGCAGGCCCCAGCGAACAGCGCGCGCGACGGCGGAGGTCCCCCGGCCCAGGCGAGGCCCCCGGCACCACCACTGAGGCAGGAACTGACTGGGGCTTGGGGCCGCGCTTGAGTCGAGCCGAGGGAGCGACCGAGGAGGAGCGGCAACACAAGCGCGTTCAGAAAATAAACCTGGCGGAATAGGAAGGGAAGTAGGGAGGCGCGAGGCGTTATGTTGCCGTCCTCGTCGCTCCCGCCGGCACCACGGCCCGCGCCTCGCTGGCCTGACAGAGGGAAGAACAGCATGTTTCCCCACCCGTTGGAAAAGAAATATGAAATATGATGATTTTTCTGAGTGCCAGGGCTGGGGTGTGAATTGAACTGCATCAAATTGGTTGATTGTTTTTATATCACTCATTACATTTGATTGCCATCCATCAGCTACACAATATCACACACGTATCCAACCAAACAGTATAAACATACATACATACATTTGACAAGTTAATATGCTAACAATTCATGATTACACATGCGTAATAATCGGTAATAATAAGTTAGGCTTGCAATATCAACAATAATGACAAAACAAGGGAACAACAGTAAAATGAAACAACAACTTATGAGTAAAGAGATACAGAAGTATACAATATACAAAATTCCTACACATGATCATGACAAGCTATGGCGCTGATATCAAACACCCTCTATGAGTATTTGGGAAATGCTTTCTTACACTTCTCAGTGTACATACTTAACAATGGCAGCAGAGAGAGAGAAAGTTACTCACAACATCGATCACTTGCTTCTTTGAACTGTGATTTAATACTAGGATGTATGAGGAGAAACAGAATAACCTCAACAAACAAAAAACTTGCAAAAACTAAAATAATATGGGAGGATGTAATCAGGACACACTAATTATCAAATTAATAAATATTAAGGACAAGTCCCTTTTTTGATGACCATGCAACGAGCCAGATGGTAATTTTTTAACTGACAATGCATTCTGGATCTGCATAAAAGGAGTACTGAATTAACAAGATTTTATCTTCATAATTACATGAGGCAGGAAGTTCAGAAGTTCATTATTGAAGTCAACAATTTTTACTGACCAAGTTAAAACAAAGTTTGTAAAACTACATAGGATTTCTTGGCAGGAAGGCAAATTAGAAAAAGAATGAAAATCAAAACAAAAACAAGAGATGTCATTCCATAAATATCAATGAGGTTCACAATCTGAATTTAAAAAATTCAAGCATCAGTCCAGACACATTATTTGAGGTGAAATTATCCAAGAATGAGCCACACACAGATGCACGAACAGTGATATATGCCACAAAATTGCATAACTATACCGAGCTATGAGGTGCTTAAGGAACTGATATTACATGATAATTTACGACATAGGAACTATTTGAGTACAGATGAAACAATTTGATTACTTCATATTTGGACCAATGTACACAGTCTCAACAGTACCCCCCAAATGATGTCTATTAGATTAAAAATAAATAACTTGAGAATTACCAGAGTCAGAGACACATATGTTAAAGTCAGTGGGCTTTTTTTAAAGCCTGAGCCTGATATTTTAGAGTACATTGAACATTCTGAATAAGTAGTTACCACAGTATAATGAACTGTATCCACAGTGCAACACAACCCTGAAAAAGACATTCATCTGTCAAATGACTATCACAAAAGAAAATTAAGACACATTGAAAGTTACGCATAACTGCCATGTAACACATTACAAGAAACTTCTCTGTTCATAACAAAGAAAACAATACAACATAAACATCACAAACAGAAAGGTACAGGTAAATTGTTGTTGAATGTAATAGATTGCAGAACATTCTGTCAAACAACAAACCATTTAAGTAAGGTATATAAACCACCTTGCAAAGTACCTAATTTGAAAGACCAGACCTGATGGAGAAAATGGATCCATTTTTCTACTAAAAACAACCAGTTTCACTTCTGAGAAAGTTCAAAAAAAAAAAAAAAAAAAAAAAAAAAGGTAACGAATGAAATCTGAGCAAAACTGTTCAATAACACATGAAAAAAATATCAAGTTTTGTTTTGTGACACCAGTTAAATAAATGATACATAAATAATAAATGCCATACACATTTGATACAAAGTTACAAATCACCAGATCACAGACATAACCATGAATGAACAATATAGACACCATGAATAAATATACTTATAAAAAAGCTGCACCTACCCAGAAGCTCACACAAGCACTTAAAGACAGATTGTTTGGGACATTGCGTTCACTGTCTTACTTCTGCTTCTTCCCTCTGCAGAATGAAATGGGGGAAAGATAGCAAAAGATAGGAGTAAAAAATACTGATAACATTTGTTTAGGCACAGTACAGTATTTAGATTATGTCTTGCAGAGGAAGTAACTGGCACCAACAAAATTGCACATAGTACAACAGAGAATCAAAAAGAAACAAGACTTTGTGAAATCCAAATCACAGATTAACAATTTAAAATGAGAGTTAGAAGGGATTTTGCAAGACATTTTCAGTATCATAAGATTAGAGACAGCTGAAAACCATTTTAAAATAATGGTCACATTTGAATTTGACATTTTATGCCAAATACCAAGCAGTCATGACTAGAACAAAATTGCTAAGCAGGACTTAAAATAATCCAGGTAGGTAAGACAATAGTATCGGAAAAAGATTTGCTGCCAAGATTTTAGAAACTTACAATCATGTATGGTACAATAAGGTTAGAACAATCCCCCCACAACAGTGCTTAAAATAAAATGGTTAATAGAAGAAAAACATTACAGTACAAGTCTACATAATTATAATGAGCATTTTAACTGCACAACCAAAATTAATGTTACAATATTTGGATTGGCAAAATTCTTCTATCAACATAGGTACGTATTATACTTCACCTCAAATTCTTTCCGTGGGTTTGGATGACGGGTTTCATATTTACCATAGAAATTACTAGGACCTGCTACAAATAGAGTTACAGGGTAAAGAAATAGTACGTAGTTCGGAAAAGTTAAACCATTAAAAATTGTTTGTACGAATACATTAAATTATCTCTAAATTCAGAAGTATAGTAGTTCACTGGCAATTCTACACTGGAAAAGAGCAGAAACAAATAAATATTGTTTACTAGTCACGAGTTTTAGCTCTTGGAAATAAGTTGTACTAATAATGATTGCTATACTGACATTCAGCATGGTAAACGGTTAACTGTTGGCAAAAATAAAATAATACAAATTGCATTTCTCATATTAGTGCCATTGAAAGCTAGGTAAATACAGTTGTGCAGAACAAGTACAAAATTCCACAAATCATATGTATAAAAACAATGCTTCCAGTCTTGGTAGCAAGTCATATTTTCTCACTTACTTCCTACTTTTGAGTCCGTGGCACTTAAGAGGAAGACTATAAAATTAGTCTAATAATTATCTTATCATACCACAACTCTATGTTCAAACTTGAAAAATATGAATTGCATTCTTTTCTAATACTAAAATTAGCAATGCCACGAATATTTGTCATTAACTAGCAGTTTTGATCAAGAATTGGGTTGATACAAAAGGAGAGTTGTGATACAAGTCAAAATATGAATTACTTGCGTTTACTGGCCTTTTCAGCAAGTTTTTCTGCTTTCCGCACTTGCCTCTCTCTTTCCTTCTTTTCTTTTTCAGTTAATTTCCTTTCTCGTTCAGCGGCAAGCCGTAAATCCTTAATCTTTCTTTTCAATCGAGTTTTATCTTCACTTCCTATACCAAAAGATTTGAAATCTTTTGATTCTAACTGAAGCAAAGCTGCACCTCCAATGCCTTGCTCAAGGAAACGTGGAATACAACTTTCAAGTTTCAGAGCAAGGAGCCATTGACAAACTTGTTCTTTTGACCACTCTGTCACAGGAACATTCTGCCACACATGCGATCCTCTTCTTTGCAAGAGATCTTCGGTGGAATCAGCTGGAGTTGGTTTACTTGGGCTAGGGTCAGCACTTAGACTGCTCAGAGATGAGGCAGACACAGAAGAAGGGGAGCTAGGGTACTGCCATGGATATTGCGTGGCCTGGGGGGTTAATAGAGTAGTAGGTGCTTTCTTGACTATAAAGATAAAGAAACAATAATTAGCATAATCACTGAAAAGACATGTACAACAAAGTTAAGTGTTCTGATTAATAAAGAACTGATAGGTAGACAAACCTCTGGCATTAGCTTCATTGACTGCTTGTCGAATTTCCTCTGCAAGTGCTGCTGCAGGATCTCTATCTAAATATTCAGACGAACCATCTCTTGATGAATTAGGTTGTTCACCAGTTGACATTCGTCGCTCGCGCTCCGCTAAAACTTGCTTTAACTGTTCAGCAAGGGAAGGCGGTGGTCCATGGCCCCTCTGGCCAGCACCTGTCAGACATACATCATCAAATATATTTGTGATTCAGTTTCTAATGGTTTAGTACACAGTTATTATTCATACAAGCAGTTAGTCTTACCCTTTTGGGGAGCTGTCTGATAAGCTACATTAGTAGTTGATTGTCCGCTCGGTGGGTGAGAGTGCAAACCAGCTGACATGTGTGAAGAATATAGATTTCCAGTAGCAGAGGGGGCATTAGCAGATGATGGGGAGTAAGCAGAATGCAGAGAAGAAGAGGAGGAGGAGGAAGTTGTTATTGCTGATTGATAATTAACATGTTGCTGTGGTGCTGTAGAAGCATACAGTCCACTTTTGTTAAGTGATGAAGAGGAACTGAAGGTTTGCATAGTTTTTGGCGCAGAGGTAGAGACTAAAGAGGTTGACTTGGTAATGGCTTGATGAGATTCATGCGTCTGAAAAGCCGCATTAGTTTCGTTGCGATGAATTAAATTAGCACCAGCGCTACTGTTGCTACTAATACTGCTGTTCATGCTGTTACTGTCAATCATGAGAATGTCCTCACGGCTTCCTGATGTCCCATTAATATCTTCTCTGCTAGAATACTCGATATACATTTGACGTCCGGCACCCAATTGATCTTCTTCACTTTCCTCACAACTTTCATCCAGCCCATAATCCTAGGAAGAAAACATAAAATGATACATTTACAGTTGTTTATTTATTGAATGTGTCCAGCATGTGTTAAATATGTCAAACATTTTACTCACTGAACTGCTGGTGCTGACACCCTTTTCCCGGGAAGGTAATTGTCTACCAGCTAAGCCCCCACGCTGACCTAGCTCTCCTTTGGCTTTAGAAGCTGAAACATCTAAGAGCTCATGTTGGGGAACAGCGCGATCTAGTTCTTCCTTTAAGGGCACCTGAAATTAAAATTTTGGTTGTTTTGGTAATGATTATTACATTTTGGATTTGTATTGATATTGATTTTTGATATGAAAGCAAGGGATAATAGAGATACATGCCTTCCGCTCAACTGTTGCTGTTTTGTCTCCATCATCAGGGCTAATATCTGAGATTTCAGTGTCAGATAGCTCAGCACCCAACTGGAGCAACAGAGGCTGAACAGAAGTTTGAAGCGCACGTCGAGACATCTGTGGGGTAATTGGCTTGTCATGGGGCAACACGACTGGAATACCCGCCCTTCTTTGGGTATCCATTAGCTCTTGCTCTAAACGGATCACACGATCCTTCAGTGATCTCACAAGGGCATTGTACTCTGTATCTTTTTCTTGAAGAAGTTGCAGTAAATCTGATTCTCTTTGTTCTAACTCCCGCACAAGCCTTTTTGCTTTACTATACTTCTTCTCAACAACTGAGAGTTGAGCCTTAAAGAAAAAAAAATATGACAATATCTTGTTTTGATGAATACATTTCTCAATTATGGGTGAACAAAAAGAGTAGAGTAATGCATCCTATCAATGCATATAGGTAAGTGGATGAGGTACCTGGGACTGTTCCAGCATGTCCTGAAATGCTGACACATCTTTCTTGGATGAGATAAGGGACCGCTCTGTTTCCCGAAGTCTAGCACTCATACGGCGCAAGCGCTCTACATATTCCTCAGTTCCACTGGTTCCTCGTTGCTCAAGTTCCATCAACTGTTAAAAGAAAAGAGAAAATTTATTTTAATCATTTGAAACAAAAATTACATTTAAGAAAACTGTTGACATGCAAATTAGCAGAAACATGGAATAAAGCCTGTGCTTAGGCAACAAAACAAAACAGCCAATAGAAAAAAAAAAAAAAAAAAACCGAAGCTTATAAAATCTCTACAAAACAGCTTCTCACCCGATCTCTAAATCGTGCAACTTCACTGTCTGCTATTGCCAGCCTCTGCTGACTCTGAAAGTCAAAGCAGCACAAAACATATATGCACAGAGAAAGCAAATAATAACAACAACATCAACAACAACAAATAGCCTACAACCTAGCTACAACTAAACTGTACAGGCATTTAATTAACAATTATTCAGCAATGAAAACAAAATAAATATCTTTATCACAGTCACATTCTTAGATATGTGATAGTTTCCAATATTTCACTACCATGCAAACTAGATATATACAGGTTTTTCTATCCATTTTAAAAACCTCATTATCCTAGATAACTAGCCTTTAAGACTACAGGCATAGAAAAAACATGATAAACGTACCTCTTGTAGCATATCTCTCAAGTTTGCAACTTCTGTAGCAGTTGTTTCATCAGTTCCATGACCTGGGGGACTAGGAGGACCATCAGAAGACACCGGAGAGGCACCACCTATTGGTGCTGTTGCACTGTCTTCTGATCTTTGGCTTTCAGATGGAGGAGAAGCAGTGGCAGAATCTAAACCTTGGTGCTGATGACGCATTGCATTAGATCGTAATTCTGCTTGGCGTCTGTGATCGTCTCGCTCTCGATCGGCCTGTGACACACATCCGCGTTCCTTAGGATGTGGAAATGGAGGTGGTTTAGTAGGAAAAGGACAGTGTTATAAGGCAAAGGACAGAAAGTAAAGTCTAGGTAACCAAAGTCCCAAAGACACAACATGCACCATGTTCCGTAAGAAGTGGAAATGTTTATAAGTTTATCGAAAGATCCCATTTTGCCCCCAAACAAGTCAAGAACAGTAAGTTACAGATGGGAAAAATCAGATAGATAGATAGATAGATAATATAGTATGTAGATAGAATAGGTACAAGATAGAGTGGTGATTTCACATACCTGGAGAGACTGTCTAATAAGCTGAGCCACTTCAGAATTTTGGGGATCTCTTTCTCTACCAATTAGAAACTTGACAAGACCACAAGTATTTCTCAAAACAGATGCTGCATAAGCTTGGGTCACTCCAACCAAAGATTTGCCATCCACCTCAATAATTTGATCATTAACCTGTCATGGGCAACAGAGAAATAAACAAATTTGAGGATTAGATTAGAGCTCCTTAAAAAGTCATGTAGATTAGATAAAAAATTAAAAACATAAAATAAAAGGTTACCTGAATTCGTCCGTCTTTAGAGGCTGCACCATGGTCAGTAATTGTTTTCACAAAAATTCCTAATTTTTCAAGTCCAGCATCAGCGCCTACTCCCATTCCAATAATGCTGAGACCAAGACCCTCTGGGCCTTTAATAAGTTCTACAGGAAAAACATCCATCTTTTCCACTCTTTTTTCTAATTCATACTCAGCAGAGGCAGCCACAGGATCTACATCTTCATTACGGCGATCATAATCAGTCATGGAAAATGTACTGAACATCTGTTCAAAAGAATACAAAATTAATGAATTATGTACAACAACAGTACTTCTTTGCAATGCATAAATTAACTGCATAAATGATCATACCTTGATAGGTCCACTGCTAAATGTAACTTTAGTATTTTTCTTTACAGGAATGGGGTAGATTTCATCTTCGTCCTCTGAATCAGGAAGACCAGGAACTTCCATCCAGAAGTGACCATCTTGATAGTAATGCACACCCTTTTCCACAAGAACCTGTTTCCACAAAAATAGATGGATATAAAATTAAAATCACTTAAACAATGAGTGGGGGAGGAGGGGGGGGGGAATGTTAGAGTGTGAAGAACCACAGTACCTCTTGAGCAGACTTTGGTGGGTAATCCATTAGGAGAGAGTGAACTGAATCACCATCTTCAGTCTCTATCATACTAGATTCTGATTCTGCCAGATTTGCATCTGACCCGGACTGGGACCATAACTGGCTAGATACAACTGAATCATCCATCGTAGCTGATTTATTATGTACTTCAGCAGATACAGACTCTGACTGCCATTCGGAAGCTTCCGAATTTTGCAGCATGTCTGGTGTTTGAGCTGGAGTGAGTAATCTTTTAACTTCTTGAGCTTCTTCATCTGACAGCAGTGCCTCCTGCCTGTAGATAAAAAATATTTGTTAGTAGAAAAATTGTTGTAATTTTGACAACTACAGTATGAAGTGATTAGCTGATGAGTGAACAAGATAAGGATATAGCAATAACAGCAAGTGGGGGGAAAAAGTTTGAGTTCTATTTAAAGATAATATTAGTTTAAATCCCAAAGTCAAAATCCAAAACCCTTGTAAGGAAAATACAGGGTGGGTGATCCGCGCCATTTTTTTTTTCTGCTTATACTGTACCGGATTCATGCGTGCGGGCGGGCTTGCCTATCGTCGATCGCCATGGCGCCTTACGGCCTCGTGCGAGTATGCAACCCATCCGCACGCATGAATCCGGTACAGTATAAGGAGAAAAAAAGCACGGCGCGGATCACCCACCCAGTATGCAATAAAACCCATAAACCAATAATCAATGTATGTTAGTGGTACAATTTTATACTCCACACCTAAGCCCTTAAAATTCAAATTAAATAAACCAGATATTTAAGTGCAAACTATTTATGGTGAACACGCAAACGCAAACTGATTTAAATCAAAAGCAACTAAAAGAACAATTATAGTACTGGTTTAAACCATTTTAGAGAAAGACAAAAGAACAAAAGCAGTTTGATGAAACCTTAAGAAGACAACCATTGCCCGCCATCCACTGAAAAGAAGGATGTCATGAATATAGTTATAGGAGTCAGAGTAGTTAATAAAGGTAGTAAATGTAAATGGATATTGGAACCTCCACAAGTGTAGAATGTGATGCGGACACATACATGTAATTACACAACTCCAAAATATGACAGAACAAGAAGAACTCAACCTGTCTACAAACACATTAGTAAAAGCTCCAACATTAAATGTAAATCTGTACTGGTACCATAAAAAGATACAATCCCTAACACACCACAGTGCACCCACACACCATCACCAAGTTACAGGAATACGGAATACATGGTGAAAACCATCTCTGACAGCAGTAGCATTTTCCACACACACACAAACTCACCGGAATCGCTTTTCCCAAATGCTGGTGTAAAAGAGATGCGTTGAATGAAGAAAAACGAAAAACACAAAGAAAAAAATTATTAAAATAAAGTTTCCTAGAATCCGAAATTCCTAGATTTTTCCAGTGTATCATACACACAATCCACACCAAAGTTTTTGTATGTTCATCTGCATCTGGAGTTACATTAGCTACATTGATAAACTTAGTTGTGATAAATATTTCAGTGATTGTTTTGATACATGCACAGAGTTGTAGGACAGCTTTTAGTACAAAACATCCCATTTAAAACATACACATTTTTCTTAAAGGGTAGAATAATATTCTTCTAAGAACAAAAAGCGACTGCATATTAACAGGATGCCTGAAAACCAATTTGCTGCAAAGGAACTAAATGTGTCCAATGCTTCAATCTGTGCTATGTGCAACACTGTGAAACTTCCATTTTGTATACAGAAAGAAAAATCCTATTTTTATTTTAATCTGATGAAAGACTTCCTCACCTTGTGCTAAGAAGATTCTCTGCCTCATCTGCGGTCATGGGCTCAGGTACAACTCCCTTGGGAGGTGACGGCTTCACATTGTTACTCACTGTCTTTTCAATAGATGGAGGTTCCTAAAAATAAAACAGAGAGATGAATACTTTTCTTAACTTGTGAGGAAGCCAAATTATTTGCCTTGAATTTAATTAATTATTTAAATAACAAGACTTGCCTGCTTCAGAAATACACCAGAATCTCTCATTTCAGATTCATCTTCCTCATCAGCAAATTTCATGTCTTGCAAATCAGGACCAGGTTTATCTAATTGGATTCCACTATCACAGTTATGGTCAAAATCATTTCCTTCACTTGCACTATTACCAATTGAGAGAAGAGTTTCTGATGATTCAAAACCTCTAGAAACATCAGATTTTAATGAACCAGGAGAAAATTCGTCAATAATATCTTCAGAGGAGCCTCGCCTGCTCATTCCCTCTTTCACATGGATTTCTTGGTTTGAGTGGCTGTCATTTAACTTGTACAGATCTTGTTTGCTTTTTGGAATCCCATTTTCATCAATAGATTTAAAACTTTGATCAGAAGACTTATGTAGTTGCTCCTGCCCAATTTCCTCATAAATAAACTCAGCAGTGGTTGGCTTTGCTTTAGAATCTGCAGGCAATGGGTGGAATGAGCTGAAAAAGTCTCTGTCACTTTTTTCATTTGCCACTGAATTTGACCTAGTTTGAGCATCAACAACTTGAGGTTTGAAGCTCTCTGACATAAGGGTGGATGCTGCTGCAGCTGATGAAACAGGCTTCTGCCTGGAATGCCCTTTTTTAATAGGAACCGAGTAAAGAGGTTGGTCGTCAACTGCATTCAGTGGTGCAGGTGCAGGTGTTTCTACACTTGACATAAAAGCAGAAGGTGGCTGGATGGGGGTTTCCATTTTCTCACCCTTTTTAGATTGTTCTAAAATTGAATCTGTCTCTTTGTGCACTTTTGGTAACTGGGAAGATATTGGCGCAGAAGCACTTGAGGGAAACAATCGGGCAGTTGCAGACAATGGAGACTGAAGAGTCAGTTGCACAGAAGATACCATTTTCTTACGTGCATCACTTTGGTCATCAGTGCTTTCTGCATGATCTAGGTCTAAAACTTTATCCTGAAGGTCCACTTGTTGTCTAGCTGTATTTTTCTTATGCCCTGCAACAGAGGAAATTACAGACTCCTTCATTAACTAATCGATGGATATTCACACAACAATGAGTCCACCCAGCAAACAGTAACATACAGGGCTGACAGTAATGGGTTGAGCTACAGTAGCAGGTTCGAAAAAATTTCCACATGAGCGATTTACAGGAATGACAAACGCTCCAGCTTTTCAACTTATTTGTTACAGCACTATAGGATTCAATGCACTTTCCCCGAAGGTTGGCACAAAAATGTTTCAAAATAGAAAACTGAGCAATTGCCACAGAGTTGGATAGATCCATCTTGAGTGACGACGCGAGGGGAGGGAAGGCCCAGCGTCAGGCTGTCGAGGTGCTACGCGCGCGGCACAACGCGGAATGAAGCAAGCGCCGGGGTGGCGTCCTGGATGCAGAGCACTAGCGGTAGCTACCGCCCGGCCCGGCCAAACCCAAACAGCCGAGGCACAAAGCCAAAGGGTCACAGACGAACCCCTCACTCCCCTCCACGACGCACACAGCATGGGGGGGTCACCACCAACCAGGTCGCCCGTACAGACGCGCAGAGTGAGACGATTTCGCTGGATGCATTTTGAAGTAGGTATCAGCCTGCACTGTATTTTCATTCAGCCGAAATGAATCGAAGTTACTAATCAAAAGACGACCGGTCTTTCTTTTCACGTTTATAAATGCGCGTTCGTCCCACAGACCAAACATCCTACAAGTTGGCCACGGTACAACTTCCCTTCCCTCTCCGCTCAGTTCGGCCACGGTTCGCTCGTGCATCAGTAGTGTTATTCCAAGGGGCCCGTAAACATGACCCACGCACAAAGCCCGCCCTAAAGCTGTACAACACGGCAAGCGCCGCAATAAAGCGAGCGGGGCGGAGCGCGAGAGGCAACGCGACAGCTTCCATACCCTGGGCCTAGGAGGACACGAGAGCGGGTAACCACCGGCCGAAGGGGTCGCGTCGGGCGAACTGTGCCTCAGGGGCCAGAGGAGGCGGCAAAGAGATAGCTTCGGTGGGGTGGGAAAAAGAGGGCGGGGGGCGCGGGACGAGGCGCCATGCCGAGCCGAGCGCGTGGTCAGGCGTGGCAAGGTTGTCACACATTCCTACAAAACAAGTCCCTGATGCCAAGAGGAAGCGAATCTAGAGAGCCGCCACCGCCCAATTTAAGAGACTCGGCGAAAAGCGCGCAACCTAAGGCCGACCCACGGAACGCGCTTTAGAATGTGTATCCATCGTATTTACTCTGGCTAGGTGCAAAATTGGGCCAGCTGGAATCACCTGATAAAATTATGTGTCATAATACTTGGTCTGGTTGCCAAGAAGCTAACGTGGACGAAGCACCAAGTTGGCTTGCAATCTCGAAATAGCCACATGCCACCCCCCACCAGGCAGCCTAAAGACCAGCCGACTTTCAGAAGCGAATCAAAACACAACGAGGGGACCAATTAAAGAGGTATAAATCAGAGCCAAATACACTATTGCGCACTGTACACCGGATGCAGGCAACATCAATGAATGCTGGCTTTAAATCAATACTGCCTTGACCCTTTCACGAAGTGCCGCAAGTAGACTGCGACAGAATTAATCAACTGGTAAGAACACTTAGAGCAGATATATTTGAAGAGACTCACCATCAAACTCTTTTTCTAGACAACGCGGTGTCAGCCTTTGAGAACTTTCCGGGGTCTTGACGCTGCAAAATCAAAACATCACCAGTTAGAATCTCTTCGCGCGGGAAGAGGTAGGCCCCACAGAGCTCTCTAGACCTCTCAGCTCCAACTGAATGTTGCCAAAAGGTGAGGCTAGAAAAGTACGTCGTACCCCTGCCCAGCCCCTGTGCCCCAGCAATCCCACGGACAGAGCGTCAGCGTTTTGCCAACATCAGGAGGTGTGAACTGCGAGCGGGACACGCGCGTCCCGTCTCGTCCGTCCCGCCAAGCCCGAGCAGGCGTGGCTGCCTAGCCCCGCGGGGCTCGTGGGGTGGCTGCCAGTTGGGTGGCCGGGGCGCCAGGGGCCGAGGGCGGGCCGCCACACTCACCCTCTGCTGCCGGGGGTCGCCGGTGTCGCCCGCTTCTCCTGCGACTCCTGTTCCTGCTTCTCGTGCAGGCTGGAAGAGCTGCCGCAGCTGGCTGGGGAGGTGGGGCTGACGGGCGAGGCGGACAGCCTCTCCGACCCGGAAGACGCAGAGGCTGGCGACTCGCCGACGCGGTCCACGGCGCAGGCCGCGGCCGAGGTGGTGCGGGCGGGCGGCACCGGGGGCCCGCCAGTGCTGGAGGCCCCGCTGGAGGCCGTGCTGGAGGCCGAGCTCGGGGTGCGGCTGGTAGGCTTGACCGGTGGGGAGGGCGGCGACGCGGGCGGGGAGCGGACCCCGGGCCGCGTCCCGGTGAACGAGGCACTCCGGGTGGCGGGTGCGCAGGCAGGGGGAGACGACTCCTTCACGGGCACCGAGTCGGCCTTGTTGAGGCTGACTCGCACCTGCGGGGAAAACGAAAGAGGGTTGTAAGAGAGGGGTCCCACTGAGGCCGCCGGGAAGCGCCTACCTCAGCGTCGATCCGCACACGACGCACACGTACCTCGGAGCGGTTGGGATCGCTGTTGAAGCGCGGCGAGGGCCGAGCCTTGGAGAAGTGCGACGTCCAGTTCTTCTGCTTCTCGATGAGCTCTCGGCTGTTGAACTTGCGCTCCGGTTTCTCGGGCTTCTCTGGCCTCCTAGCTGCGGGTGCTGGGTGCGCGGGCAGCGCCGGCTGGTCGCCGTCCTCGGCGGCGCGCTGCCGGCCCTGCTGCTTGTCGACGCCGTTGGTGGGCCGCGCGTGCGGCTGCGCCTCGGAGGCCGAGGCCGGGCGCGGCGAGCGGTGCCGCGGGACGGCGGGAGGCTCCTGCGCCGCCTCCTGCTTGGGCGGGGTCACGGTGGAGTTGACCACCCGCGCAGACACGTGCGAGTCGTCGTCGTGGTAGTGCAGGCTGCCGTTGGTCTTGGGGGAGTGCCCGTTGGTGTACTGGAGAAGAGGAAAAAGTCGATCGGTCAGTGTTTTCAAAAAAATAATCAAAGTACACCCTCCAAAATATCAAGGAAAAATCAAGGAAAAAGTCGAGAAAAATTAATTTTAAAAAATAAACACAGTGTACGCCCTTGGCACCCCTTGGTGCACACGGTGCATCAGCACGGTGCATCAGTGCTCACCGGCCCGTTGCGCGCAGGCCCGTCGATGATCCTCGAGTCGCTCTTGGAGCGCTGCTGCGGCACCGGGGACGGCGACCTGGACCGCTGGTGCCCATGGCTGGCCCTGCGCGAGGGGGAGTCGCTGCCCGTGGACTCGACGGACGACGAGCGCGTCGTCGTCGTCGAGTTGTTGTTATTGTTGTTGTTGGCTTTGGACTGCTTGCCGGGTCGGTCGTCGTGGCCTAAACAGAAAAATCCACACAAGACTCACTACAATGATGCGCACTGGCCGACACGGGTCAGTACAGTGGTGGTGAATGCGTGCTTACCTAATTTTTCGAACAGTGCACGGGCATTGTTGAATCGAGCGAGGTGACTCTCCGTGCGGACGACTGTCACCCCGGATCCTTCTTTGAGTGTTTCTCTGGAATCCTTGTTGCTTGTCTCCTTATCTTTGCTGTCATTCTTGGGAGATGTTGGAGCACGCTGTCGGGCAAAAAAGTAAAATTTTAGAGCTGCAGAGACGATGCGCGGGGTGCGGTCGAAGTCACAGTTTAGGTCAATCACCTGCTCGGGAGGTGGAGGGCCTTTGCCACCGTGAAAGCGCGCTGGGGCAACTAGTATATCTGAATCGACACTTTTCACCGACCCTACGCCTTGAAAAATGTTGGCAATTTGGGACACTTTAGAGCCGCCAAGTCGGCTATTGGCACGTTTGTCATCCATGCTTGCTGCAGGTTGTTTCTCCTGAAAATGAACGTCCACACGCTATTAGTTCAAGAGCCAATATGCACACTGGTGCATCATTTGTTTGGTTATGCTTGTTAATTTCAAAACAACATGCAAAGGAAGGGAAACCTTACACCACACACATTTTTAGTCAGTCCTACTTTTTTCCTAAACCACAGTAAGGCTACAACACACACAAGCAGCAAAAGAGGAATAAAGAGCACGAAAAACTCCATAGCTACATGAGTACTACAAACAAACACTACAGAACGAAGGTTTGTATCTGCCAATGAGGTGTGATAGTAAAACAGAGCAGATCTATCACATGTCTGGGTCGATCCGAAGATAAGATAGTCACTTCGCCCCGGTGACCGAGACAAGATTGTAGGTTCCCCCCTTCGAAAAGGGGAGAAAGTTCAAACTTTAGTCCAGCTCGAACCGACTAGACTTTAAATTTGGAAACCAGTTTCGAGAAAAACAGTTTTGGTTCAGTAGAGCTACAATACCAGGCCCACTGGGCCAACGCAAACTACTGCTCATGTAAAATCAAACGGGGAGGGAGCTGAAAACGTGACAAACTGTTGGCCAGTAAAGTACCTTTGGAGGAAAGGGCGGGGGGCGCCGCTTGTCCAGGACATGAACAACTACTGGAGGACTACTGGAGGCTGGCGCTTCAAACGTAGACCTCAGGACAGATATCGAGGTGCTCGAACGTGGTGTCCGGATTCGGATCGCACGATGTCGTCGGAAGACATTTTGGCTGGAGGCGCTACTGGAGACAAGCTCCCTCTCGCAGACGTAAGCCTGCGAGCGACTTGCTGCTAAGATGGTCGAGCGGACATCTTGGTTGGGTTGCTGGACCTGGGTTGCCATGGCCTGTGTACAGGGGATGCTGTAAGTGACTTGAATCGCGTCCAAAGCGACTTTTTTCTTTTGACAAGCGCTTGCTTTGAAACAATCTCTGAATAGTTGAAGGAATGAGTTGCTTGGGCTTGGGATGCAGAGATTTCACGATGCTCACGAGTTCACAATTGTATGCAGTTTTTAACGCAATGATTTTCACTCCGGGCTAAGTCGTCGTTGACTATTTTTCAGTGTGGCCACGAGGCAGTCCATCACATCCACAGAAACGTGAAGAGTTGGGAAACAACAGCACATTTGCTTCATCATCAGGGTTGTTACAGGTTCTGGATTTTCAATTTTACTGACTTTTCCCTGACTTATCCCTGACCAAAATCCCGATTTTTACTATCTTTTTAGGCAAGAAAGTAGGCAGTATTCCGAACAACGGGAGGGAAAATTTCACTAAAAACAAGAGTATGCACAAAAGCGGCGACTGGCTGCGCCGGCAGGGCCCGGCAAGTGCCACTGCCATGGCAGTGCACAGCTCGAGCGTCAATTTTACGGATTTTCCCTCATTCATTTGCACGAAGGCAGTCAAATGGAGAAATTTTACTGACTGCTCTCTCAATTTTCCTGACTTTCCCTGACTTTTCCTGATCGTTTTTCTAATTCCTGACTTTCCCTGACTTTCCCTGACTTTCACGGTCTGTAACAACCCTGATCATATTCCTGTGTGCTTGGAGGGGGGCCAATCACCAGGGTTTAAATTTAAACTGCATTGTGCGCCGACAAACAAAAAGAAACATAACATACAGAAAAGAAAATGAGTTAACTCAAAACAAGCCGAGCCTTTCTATCAAGTCGCTACACATAAAAGTCAACATAGAATCATGCAACATATTTGCTTTCCTACACAACTCGCGCCGACACCGGAGTTAACCCAAAGTAGCAAGAGAACAGAGCTTTAGGAGCGGGAAGAGAGCTATGAGCTAACTGAAACAAAAAGGAAACTGATAAATAGGGGGGAAAGAGGAATGAGGAAGATGAGCACAACGTGAGCGCCCTCAAATTAAGTAGAGCATTACAGAGTTGTGTGCACCGAGCATGATGCCAGCGCGGGCATCACACCTCCCTTCCTCTCCCCCCTCCTCGCCCTACCCCCTCTAGAAATGGGCCGCACGGATACAACGGTGTGGCGGCAGTGCGTCCTGAGGCAGGCCAGCACTGCGCTCA